GTGTTTTCTGGTCTCCTGATTATAAATATTGTGTTTTGGGAATCTAATATCATAAGAAGCGCGTGCTCACACACACATATTGTCTTTTCAGAAAAATCTATAATAGGCTTCTTTTGAAACTCTCATTCTTGGACATGTTTAAAAGTTTGTATCTAAGAAACTAGGTTTAGAACTGTGGGGACTGATTTCCACTGAGAGTAGTTTTAGAGCTTGCCAAAGACTAGTTCAGAATCTTCTTTCTCCACCTCGATAATTTTTTTCCTATTAGATGACCAATTGTTATATATATGTGTGTGTGTGCGCATGTGTGCATGTCCATTTATTTTTCTATTCTCATTATTCAAATTTAATGTATATAGACAAGGATAATTTCTTGAAAGTAATTCTTTTATTCAATTTACATCATCCAAATATTATTTACTGGATATCTGTCATACTTTCCAGCTTCCGTACCTTCTGGATGGGTATAGACCAAAGTGCCAGGCGCCACATGTCACGAGAGAGAACAGACTCCATATTAAAAGTACTTGTGAAGCACTTTTTCATAGAAAAAGAAGTCACATCAACTCTGGTCATGGATTCATTGTACAGTGGACTGAAGGCTCTGGAAGGACAGACGAAGGGGAATAAAGATAAGGGAAAATATTTGGAGGCAGAAGAATTACCAGTTCCTATTGTTCGCATTGAGAAAGATATGTTTGTTTTGGTGGATGATGTGTTACTACTACTTGAGAGGGCTGCCATGGAACCTTTGCCTCCAAAGGATGAGAAGGGTCCTCAAAATCGTATTAAGGTGAACATTATAATGAGAAACTATTTATGTGTGCAAAGCATGGCGTTGATTGCTTATTTTTTTAGTAGGTACTAATAAGTGACAGAAACGCTTAGGTTGGGTTGTTTCAAGGAACTGGCATCTCTGAGGGAAATTTTAGACATCACCTTATCTGCTTAGATAGTGAAATTAGCTTTTCATTAAAAGCACTTGCTTAGGCAGTTTACACCTGGGTAAATGAAAGGGTTAATTGAAAGTCATTCTGATTTCAAGCGAAACCAAGAACTCTCAGCTCCAATGTGAATAGAAAAAAGAAAAAACTGCTCGAGTGTTACTGAAAATGCAAGCATGTATTGAATTAATTTATTGTCCAATAAGCATATGCTGAGTCTGCAATTCTTTATTTTTCAAGGATGGGAGTGCTGGAGAGGAGTTCAACAAAGATTTTATTGAACGTGATGAGAGGCGTCTTACTGAACTGGGTCGTCGGACAATTGAAATATTTGTCTTAGCCCATTTATTCAGGTATACGTTTTGCCTAATGTGCATAATTGGTCCTTTTGCCGTCATCAAATGTAGCAGTCCTTCAGATGTTATGATTATACATACACATTACATTGCACTCTCGCTATAATATTTCCTGGAAGAAATCTAGGACGTCAGTATCAGAAAGTATGAGTTGTTTGCTTTGAGATTATCTGCACTAGTTAAGCTTTGAGTTAGAAGTGCACCATTTGCATGTCACTATGGTGGCCAAATAGAAGTTCATTTTATGGTGGTGGTTTCACCATTATTTCTTTTTGATAGACATGAAAAGCGTGTCTTGGAAGTGTATATAATTGGTTTTAATTATAAATAGATAGATATGAGGGGTAGATAAATGGATAGTACATGTGGATTCCTTGAAATATGTGAATTAAAAGTGGCTTGAGTATTTATAAACAGTTTATAATCATGAGCCTAACTTAGGCTAAGTTTTTTAATATTATACGTGCCTCATCGGAGTTTATGAATGTAGTGGGCATTAATAAATCATTTTCCTCCAAGCAGTAGCCTGCAATATTTGGCATTATGGTTAGAATAGCATCAAGTTGCAACTTAATACACTGCATAGGACAATAAACAATTTTTAACGTTTTTTAATCCAGAATGCCAAATGTACCTTGATTCTATTATTTTAGTCCTGAATGTTTGCCCTCGCATGTTGCAGCAGTAAAATTGAAGTCGCATACCAGGAGGCTGTTGCTTTAAAGAGGCAAGAAGAGCTCATCCGTGAAGAGGAGGCAGCTTGGGTGTTCGAGAATGAGCAGAAAGCAAAACGTGGAGCAACTGATAAGGAAAAGAAGTCAAAGAAAAAGCAGGTTTGGTAAAATCACTTTATACCTCGTGAATGTTTGACAATTTCCATCCAATTGGAAATAAAGAAGTTAGAGTTACAGACGAAGTTCTTGAATTTTTAGTAATAGACAACAAAAAATGTTGCATGATGTTGATATCCTGGAAGTATATTGCATTAGTCTGGAAAAGAGTGGCGTCATCCTTCAAAATTTTCTTCTTTAATATGAT